GCTGCTCGCTCCTGCTCCTCTGCCCACAGAGTGGCCCCCGTGCCAGAGCCCGGGAGGAAGCAGAGGGGCGGGGCAGGGCGGGGCGGAGGGGGGGCGCCTTCCCCCACAACCGAGACCAAGTTCAAATTAAACCGAAAGCAGGCGGCTGCGGCGACCGGGTCCATAGGGCGCCTCCTCCTGGGCCAGCGGACCCAGCTTCGGATGACTCCCCAGCCTCCTGCACTGGGGCTAAGTTTGAGCAGCCGGGCACCAGGTCTGCACGCTGGCCACCCCTTGGCCCTGGAGCCGGCTCTGGGAGGCATCCCTGGGACTGCCTCCAAGATCAGGTAGACGGGGCTTACCTGGGGTGGCATGATGCATTCATTCTAGGGGGGACTGTAGGAGCACCATTGTCAGGCACTGTGCTAGGCGTCTCCAGGGTCTTCATCACCGTGGTGCGTGCATCTCACCCATAACCATAAACAGACCCCCCCCAAAAGTTTTGTAGTTTTTAAGATATGTTTACTGATTAGTTGATTTGAAAGACAGAGAGAGACATCTATTTGTTGTTCCACTTGTTTATGCATTCATTAGTTGGTTCTGCATTCATTTGCTCTGACTGGGATGGAACCCCCGCAACCCTGGCATATGAGGACAACTGAGCTCCCCGGCCAGCGCCAAAAGTTTCAAAACTAAAGGAAGTTTATTCACAGGAAGCATTGTGCATGCACTACCTGCCACTGAACTGTACATTTTAAAATGCTCAATTGTATGTTATGAGAATTTCACCTCAATTGAAAAAGAAAACAGACCATCGTGGAGAAGGTGCAGCTCTAGCTTTTCTGTATTTCCCCGGGAGGGCAAGTGCAGCCCTGCCCTGATGTGATCCTGCTCCTCAGAGGCTGTGCGAGGCTGGTGGCTTACTGCCCCTCCAGCGCCCTCCTGAAGGTGAATCTCCCCATCTGTGCGCTCTCCTCATGTCTGCAAAGAAGTCAACAGGCACCTTTTCACCCCAGCCCATGCCACCCTCAACATATTAAATGTGGCCCCTCTTGAGGAAGGGGTTGAGGGCTTCCTCCCTGGGGTTGAGCCCCTGTGAGCACAGACCTGACCCTCATCCTGGACAGTCTGGGTCCCAGGGAAGAGGTTTCAGCCAAGTTCCTTGTCCCTGGAGACTAGGAGGGGCCTGAGGAGACAGAGGATGGACATCGTTGTGGCAAAGATTACCAATGAGTCTCTTCTGTGCTTTCCTCCTCCCTCCCCAAAACAGGTTAGTTTCCATTTTGGAAAGCCTATGAGGGCAATAGGGACAGACAGCAAGAACTCTTCCCCCAAACCAAGGCAGACTGGGCACTGGAAAGAGGAAAGAGTGACAATGACGATGGAACCTGGTGGGGAGGAGGGAGGCTCAAAGACAGAGTCCCATTGTACATGGAGGGGAAGGAGGGCCATAGGCCCTGTCCTGTGATACTGACTGTGCTCACCCCCTTAGTCAGCTGAGACCCGGAGTCCCTGCTCAGTCCCAGAAGGACAGGAGCAGACAAAAGACAAATAGAATTTGCAAAACCACAAGAGAAGGAAAAGCAGTCCAGTTCCTCTCAACCCTGCCCTAGACTACAACAGGGCCACAGAACAGAAATGGCAATGATGGGAGAGGCAGATGGCCCTTAACCAGGTTCCTGGGTGCTCGGCCCAGGTAGGCCTCATGTCGCAGTTAATGCTTCCAGCAGAACAGTAATCCAGCGACATGGCAAGGCCCAAGAGGGACACTTAGCAGTCTGGCCCACCACCCTGAAACGCTGTGAAGGTTTTGAAATTTCCATGTGCCAAGGCTCCCAGAAAAGTTTTGTTCTTGAGACCTGTGACAATGAAGGGAAGAAGGGGGAATAAAGAAAAACAGGGAGGCTTCAACTTTCTTCTCCAAACATGCACTCTCCACCCCTCCCACAACTCAGGCCACAAAGGGGAGAATCCAGGGTGTGCTCAGGGAGAAAAGGGCCAAAGGCCGAATGCAAGAGGAGAAAGCACCTCACAAACGTAGGGATCCTGAAGGGTCTTTATTGCCTACCAGCCACCATCAGTGTCCCAGCCTCATGCTGGGCTCTCCAGGACTCTCCTACCAACCCTGAGGACCTGGGGAATGTGGCCACAGTCCAGCTCTCTCCTTCCAGGGGATCAAGGTACTTCCTGGGGCAGACAATGTAGCAGAGGGCCTCAGAGTGAGGGGCAGAGGGCTGAGCAGCATTCCCTGTGGAGAAGGACGGGAGAGGGGGCCCTTCTTGACGCCCACCATGGAGGGATGTCTCGAAGAGGAGGGCAGGGTGGTGTCATCCTAAGAGGGAATGACACCAGAGGCAAAGAGCACAATGAAGAGGATGATGATAAAAACAATCACACAGATGAGGACAATCATCTTCACGTTCTTCCACCAGAACTTCCGAGCCACCTTCTGCGATGTTGTCTTGAAGTGCTCAGACTGTAGGGGATAAGGTAGAGTGATTCAGTTCCTCCTCCCACTGGAACAATAGTACAAATACAGGCCCCCACGCCATACACCTACATATTTAAGTGATAAGCTGAAGTAACAGACTGCTAAATAGAAAATGTCCTGTCCTCCTACCTTGACAAACATACCTTCATAACCCTCTGGTGGGCCAAGTTTAAATTTAGAAATCCTGGACTCCCCCTGGCCACCTGCCTACCCCCTTCTCTTCTTACCCCTGCACTGTCATGCACATTGTGGGGACTTTCACACATGCTCACACCCAGGGGTGTGACACTGGCAGGGCAATCCACCCCTTAGGAGGGTAGACACTGGGGCCGAGGAGAACAGAGTCAGGTTCCATGATTCCTTGCCTCCTGGGGACTGCTGAAGTTGGAGGAGAGGGGCCAGGGCGATATGGTGGTTTGAAGCGAGGGAACGTGCTTTCTCTCCAAACTGGGGTCGCAGTAACTAAGTTCCATGCTCCCCAGGTTAGGCTGTGGAAAGAAGCACTAAGTTCCAAGGAGACAACAGAGCTGTGCCCAAGATTACACATAGGACTCAGAAAGCCCCAGCCAGTGTGTCCCCTTGGACAAGGAACTTAGGCTCCAGCCTTTGCTGAACTTTAGAGGAACTCCCTTCCTGAGCACCTGGCTGGAGACAGAGAAGAATGAGGTCAAGCAGATGTGTGGGAGATGTTATTCTAGCCTTCAGCTCACACAGGACCCCATCAAAGAATGTCACCGCTCTTCCCAGCTTCTTTTTAAAGCTGACTCAGCAAGACTCTAGCAGTTTTCACCCCCTGCCTAATAACTCCCGGAGAAGGCCGAAGGGCCTTAAGAGGGTTTTCCAAAGCCAATATTTTGCCCTGGGGAGATCAGGTTCAAATGACTGCCAAGGGCAGCTTTCAAAAGGAAAATCAACTTCGCAGAAGAGAAGCCGAAGAGTGCCTAGATTCTTAGAAAACGCCTCCATGGGTCAGCCCCCACCCACCAAACCCGGTCATTGGACCTATTCCCCGGGCCCGTACCAATCGGTGGAGTAGAACGGGATCAGAAGCGAGGACTCGGCTAACATCAATTCCCAAAACAGGTGAAGAGGCAGACTTCCCTCCTGTTCATTTTGCTCCCAACACCACCAACCCTCAAATTCCCAAAGACCCTCCCTCCCTCTCTTCCTATTGTCCCCATTGGGCTCCCCATCTCACTGTGGCTTCCAGATCCTCTGTCTTGTTGCGAAGATGGTCCAAGTTTTCTCCTCGGGCCAGGATCCGCTCCACATTCTGGGTCATAATATTCTTGACTCCCTCCACCTCACTCTGCAGGTTCCGCACTCGGTCATGTCCTTCACCTCCACTGGCCTCCTCCTGGGCAGCAATGCAGGGGTTAATTAAGTCAAGTGGCAGAGGAACTGAGACGCAGCATGGAGGCCAGAGGAGGGGAAGGTCTAAGGTGGACTTTAGCTTTTTGCCATGCTTGAATTGTTTACAAACAGAATGTTTTCAGGTTCTCAGGGCCTCTGCCAATGAAAAGAAGCACACCGCTGGATCCCTCTCTACTACTCCCTTGCTCCTCAAAGGTCAGAGAAGACAGCTGAGCTGGCATTGCAAAATGCAAAACCCCACCATTTACCAATTCCCAGATCCTACAGTGTCCTCATTAAAAACGTCTGTGCTGGCCCTAACTAGTGTTCAGTGGTTAGAGCATCGGCCCAAGGACTGAAGGGTCCCAGGTTCAATTCTAGTAAAGGGCATGCACCTTAGTTGCAGGCTCAATCCCCTGGCCCCATCAGGGAGCGTGTGGGAGGCAACCAATCGACGTATCTCTCACATCGATGTTTCTCTCTGTGTCTCTGCCCCTCCCTTCCATTCTCTCTAAAAATCAATGGGAAAAAAAATATTGTCTGGTGAGGATTAACAGCAACAATAAAAAATGTCTGCGCTGGCCAGTAGAACACCCTCACCTGGCACAACCCTCCCTCTCTCCACTGGGGCAGCTAGAGAGCTGTTCTGGCACCCGCCTCCTGGGCAGCCCAACTGCTGTGACCCAGAACGCCAGCAACCAGGCTCCAAGTTCCTCACAAGGCCCATGACAGCAAGCCGTTGGGCCACAACTTCTGCTTCTCCCCGATCCCCCATTTAGCGCCATGTGCAAGCATGTCAAACTCGCAGCCGGCGGGCCACATGCCTCGTTTATTTGGCCCCTGTTAGCCTTTGAGTTTGACATGCTTGTACAGGAACCAAACAATCACCAGTTAAGTTGATATTAAGTAAAAACAGCAGCCTGGGCACTGGGGGAAATGGAGGGCAAGTCCTCCCTGCTTAATGCCTCATCCCCAGGCTTCACGATAAGGTTTTTGAACAAGGAAGAGAAAACGTTATTAAGCTCCTCCCTCCCCAGACCCACTGGATCTCCAAAAACAGGGCAGGGTGTGGATCCACAGTAGATTATCACAGAGAACCAACTTCTGGTTCTTTTACGAACTCTTTCTTCCTTATGTTTATAAAGAGGGGGCCAACTCCTTGGACTCAGAGAGACAAATTCTTTGGGTTTCTCTATAGGATAAAGTGAAAGGCAGAGGGGGGAGCTGAGCTGGAATGTACACTGGGAAACAGCAGCGCTGCCCAGGAATGTCACATCACCTGCTGGGGCGGGGTGGGAGGGTGGCGGGAACTGGGGGAGGAGATGAAGGGCCCTTCAGGCAACTCCTTGCCTGGAATTCTCATTCCTCACTCCCACCGAGGCCCGGCTCTAGGCCCAGCCGGCACTGAGGTCGGGGGGAGGAGGGGAGTAAAGGGGCAGGAACACCGACTTCGGCAGCTCAGAGCTATTTGCAGTTAGTTGTCAGCGCTGGCCCAGCCCTCTAACTTGCCACCTTCTCAGCTTTCCTGATGCCCAGGCCCCTCTGGCTTGTCTTGAAATCACCCCCTTCCTAGTTCCCAGCTCACTCACCATGTCTCAGCAGCTCAGGCCAGTCAGCAGCAGAACTCGCCTAGTCTGTCTCCTCCGAGGGCGGCCCTGAGTTCACTTCCTGCTCCAAGTTTCAGCCCGCCTCCCCCCCTCCCCACCTGACAGCCCGAGCAGCTCCAGCCACACCTCACGCAGGTTCCTCCAGGTAGGCGGGCACCCTCCTCTGCCCTCCCAGTCTCCTCCCAAACCCAGGCTCAGGCTTAAAGCAACAAGACTCCCCGGCACCCAGAGTCTTCTAACTTGTCAGGAATCAGAAGAGAAAGAGGAAGCAGCCCTCCCAGGTTTCCTAAAGCGGTACCGCTGATACAGAGAGGGCAGCCGGCTTCTATTTATGTCCAAATATCTGACTCCAGTTTGTAGAGATTGAAATAAAACTGGGAGGGGACAGTAAGCCCCCTGCCAGGCCTGGTTCACATGAAAGCAGAAAGCAGATATGAACATTTTTTCTTTTTTATTTCGCTTTTTAAAATGTTTTTTATTTTATTTTTTTTACCTTTAGATATGAACATTTCTTGCTAGACAACCCTTGCGCTCCTGTCTGTAGATGGGCAGAGAGCACTAATCCCCCAAAGTCTGGAATGCCGAGATCCTGGCTCAGGTATCAGGAAGCTCTGGGTTACTTGGTGACCCTGAGTGAACCGCTTCACCTCTCTGGTTTTTGCAGGTGCTGAAGCCGACCTGGTGAGGAGTACGAGAGCACCTTCAATGTGCCCAGCACAGTGCCTGGAGCAAAAACTGTCTGTATGAATCAGGAAATGATGGCACACCAACCCTCCTTTCCTTTCAGAGTTCCATAATCTTGCCTTTCCCTTCAGGGGCACCACCACGAGGTTGGTGAGCCCAATCAGAAAAGGGGAGAGAACTGCCCTATGGACCATAGAGGGGGCCCGGGGCAAAGAATTTCTCCATCAACCTGGCTCCTGGCCCAAGAAAATCCACTCTTCCTGGGTGGTGTTTATCAAGACGGGAGAAGAATAACAGGGACATGCAGGAGAGAAGCATTTCTGTCACATCCCAGAAGAAGTAACAGTTCCAAGGGGGAAATGTCAGCTGCCCAAACAAATACTTTTTAAAAGGTTGAATAAATTTTGGGCCTCTGTAGCATCTTGAAACTCTTTATTCTAATTTATACTGAAATCTTATCCCCAGTTAGATAAGATTATTATATTTTGTAGATCTGAATTTTGATGAGCAATGCCAGCCTGCTTTCACAGAGAATTTGGCTGCCCGACTCCTTGCCCCATTCATAGAAAGGCTACAAGGTGGCCAAGTGGAGGTGGGTCAGAAATCTTGATCTTCACTTGCACTGTCTAATACAGTAGCCACTGGCCGCATGTGGCTGTGGAGCACTTGAAGTGTGGCTAGTATGAATGTAGATGTGATGTAAAAGTAAAATGCATGCTGGTTTTCAAAGACTTATTATGAAAAAAGAACATAAATATCCCATTAGTAATTTTGTATATTGATGACATGTTGATTAATGTTTTGGATATATTGAGTTAAATAAAAAATATTGATAAAACTTATTTCACCTGTTTCCATTCCCTTTTAATTTGGCTAATAAAATTTTTTAAATTACAGTCATTTCAATGGGCCCTGTAATATCTCAAGGATTTATTCTCTCTCTCTCTTTTTAAAATATTTTTTTATTGGTTTCAGAGAGGAAGGGAGAGGGAGAGAGAGGGAGAGAGAGATAGAAACATTAATGATGAGAGAGAATCATAGATCGGCTGCCTCCTGCATGCCCCCCACTGGGGATCAAGCCCACAATCCAGGCACGTGCCCTTGACCGGAATCAAACCCAGGACGCTTCAGTCTGCAGGCTGACGCTGTACCCACTGAGCCAAACCAGGTAGGGCCACAGTCTCCCAGTTTCTATAACATCTTACATTTTTTACAATGGATGAGCTAACACTGATATATTAACAAAGTCCATAGTTTATATTCAGGTTCACTCTTTGTGTTGTACATTCTATGAGTTTTGACAAATGTATAATGACATGTAAGTACCATGACACATTACATTATCATACAGAATAGTTTCACTTTTCTAAAAATCCCCTGTGCTCTACCTACTCAGCCCTCCCTCCCTCCCCTCAATCCTTGGCAACCACTGATCTTTTTACTATTTCCATAGTTATGCCTTTTCCAGGATTGCACAGACTTTGGAACATACAGTATATAGTCTTTTCATATTGATTTCCTTCACTTAGCAATATGCATTTAAGTTTCCTCCATGTCTTTTAGTAGCTTGATAGCTCTGTTTTGTGAAAGGGCTGTGTATGCAAAGCAGCCCCCAAAAGCCGAAGGGGCCGATAAGCAAAAAAAAAAAAAAAAATGAGGCAGACAAGTCCAGCTTGTTGGTTTAGAGAGTTTATTAGGGAACTTACATACAGAAAACAGTCTTGGGCATCAATAAGAGGAATGGATCCCCGAACCTTCCACCCCCAGATTTTAAAAGCTGTGAGAATGTGTGATGATCAAAGGGATCAGGAGCTAGGAGGCTTGGGTGCCAGGGTGAGGTAACAGAAACATCCGGGGCACCTCACCCTCAGAGAGAATTAATGGGAGTACTCTGATCAATCCAGAGTTCGGTATTTCAGAACTCACCCAGGGGAAGGGGAGAGAGTCATGAGTTCAGGTTCACCCAGTTGTCAAGATGGCGGATTAGTTTTAAGATGGGGTCACTTATGTTCCTAACAAATTCATTTCATTTTATCGCTCAATATTCCATTGTAGGAACGTGTCACAGTTTGTGTATCTGCTCATCTATTGAAGGATGTCTTGGTTGCTTCTAAGTTTAGGCAATTACGAATAATGCTGCTATACTTGTGTGTGCAAGTTTTGTGTAGCATACATTTTCCACTCATTTGGGTAAATATCAAGAAGCACAATTGCTGGATCATATGCGAAGAGTGTGCTTAGCTTTGTCAGAAACTGCCAAACTGTCTTCCAAAGTGGCTGTATCATTTCGCATTCCCGCCAGAAGTGCAGGAGAGTTCCTGTTGCTTCACATCCTCACGCAGCGTTTCTTGTTGTCAGTTGTTAACAATATGTTGAATCCCATTTTATTTGAAAGGACATCAAACAAGCTATGGTTATTCAAACTGGCACATTTGGCTGATATTTTCCCCAAAATGAAAGGAGTGAGCCTGTTCTTTCAAGGAAAACACTAGACAGTATTTGTTGCCTTTGATAAAATGAAAACTTTCAAGTGAAAATTAAAATTCTTATCTTGAAAATTAGAACTTGTATCTGCCACTGTGAGCTGGGCAGCTTCCCAACATTTAAGAGACTCTGCTTTTGGAAAAGCTGCATAACTCAAGGAAACAGTGCTTGCCAAATGACTTTGTTTTCCAATGTTTTACTCAGGCATGATTTTACAATATCATCCTTGAGTTAAATGTCCATTTAAAGTGCAAGTTAGTTAGGCCCGACCGACGTGGCTCAGTCGTTCAGCATCGACATATGAACCAGGAGGTCATGGTTCAATTTCCGGTTGGGGCATGTGCCCAGGTTGCAGGCTCGATCCCCAGTGTGGGGTGTGCAGGAGGCAGCTGATCAATGATTCTCTCTCATCATTAATGCTTCTATTTCTCTCTCTCCCTTACTCAATATATATATTTAAAGTGCAAGATATACCAATGATTTTAATGTTATAGATCAGTGGTCGGCAAACTCATTAGTCAACAGAGCCAAATATCAACAGTACAACAATTGAAATTTCTTTTGAGAGCCAAATTTTTTTTTTTAAATATATTTTTATTGATTTTTTACAGAGAGGAAGGGAGAGGGATAGAGAGTCAGAAACATTGATGAGAGAGAAACATTGACCAGCTGCCTCCTGCACACCTCCCACTGGGGATGTGCCCACAACCAAGGTACATGCCCTTGACCGAAATCGAACCCGGGACCCTTCAGTCCACAGGCCGATGCTCTATCCACTGAGCCAAACCGGTCTGGCGAGAGCCAAATTTTT